TATCGATTAGTATCTGAGAATTGATTTTTTGACAACCCCAGTATCTCATTATTTTCAACTCCAGCGTCAGCTATATCTTCCCTTCCGTTTCTGATCTTTCGCAGTACATTCTTAGCGGTGCAGCAGTGAAAAACCCCCCCCCTTAAACAGTTTCCAGCTGCGCCACTTTCTGAACGTTGTTTAGGCTATTTAAACCGGGATTGCGGTATAAAAAAAAAATCATATCATAACAATAATAAAAACGGTTTTCGGTATGAACCGGTTTACCGCCCAGCACTAACACACACACACACACACACACACAGGTCACTCACCAGAAGAGAGGGATCAGTAAAAGAGGTCAGAGTGGCTAAATAAATTTCACCGGGATACTTACCATTAACATAAAAATACATCTAACTCACAGCTCATACCAGCAACCAGCTTTCAAAATGTTTACCCTTCCATGAAGTTACACTAATATCTCACTTAATTAGTACTTTAGATTCAGCCGGACAGTTAATGGTAACCAATTATTTCAGCAGTTTTCACATCTACCACACTCATATCTAAAGTGGTAATTGTGTCAGCGGTGTGTGTGTCAACACATTAATTAGTGAAAACAAGAATAATATGAAACACACACCCAAAGACATGAAAATGACAGCCCCCCCCCCTCCCCTCCCCTCTGGGCTTTGAACCCATAACCTTCTGCTCACGATTCAGATTTGCAAGTCAACTGCTAGACGATGCAGGGCAGATAATAAGAGCGAGAGAAGGCTCACTTCAGACACGAACAACAGCATCTGGCAGCGTGACATTTTACCCAGAGAACAAAAATAACAACAAAAGCCTTGGAAGATGCGAGGCCAATAAGGCCACATCACCAAAGTACCATTTAACGGCACAGACGCCATCTGAGGCCTCTCATCTCACCACCAGGGCGGCGTCACCTTCACCTTCACTTGAAAGGAATGCTCGCCTCGGGATGCGAGGTTCGGGAATGATGTCTCTTTGTGGGACAGACAGCACAGGATCAACTCTGACAATAGAGTGCTTTGGTCCTCTGTATGCTTCCGAAAGGACCCCCACATTTACGACAAGGGTGAAAGATGTAATCGTGATTAAATCTGCATTAATGGGATGGCAGTAATGAGGTTTTGGATGCAGAAAGAGGTATATAAAGCTTTCGGGATGATTAAATGCAGCATCGTTTGGGAGAGCGCTAAAAGGCGAAACAAACAGCCACTTAGGGAATGTAAGAATGGACCACGGCTGGGGTAATCATGTGCGATGTCCAGAGGGAGCAGCTATTCCTGTGCCTGGTCCCCATTCCCTAGCGTTCCACAGTCCTCTGGGATCAGGACACACAGCACACTGCAAGGCTCCAGACTAACTTTTGTTGTACCACTCATGCTACTTTCTCAGTTGGTTTAAGCAGTACATGACTTGGTTGCGCCCCGTTTTAATTTCCTGGTGCAGCATGATATTAATCAATGACCTTGCATGCTGATGAATAGCTGTCTTAATCTGCCGGGCGTAGTTTTTGTATTTTTGAAAAATTGACAGTGACTCAAGACTTGATGCAGTAACTGTATTTGCAATCTGATCACTAGCTTTTAACCTAACTGTCATCACCACGTGTGTCTGTCTTGGGACCCTCTGTTTGGCTCCCCTTCCCATCAGCCTCCTCATTTTTTTTTTTTAATAATCAGCTATAAACCGCTTCCTTTAAGGAACATATAAACACCACAATTAAAGGGATTGTCTGTGAGTTTCATCATCAGTGCATGTAAACATACGTACCCCCATACTATTAATTAAGCACACTAAGCCAGGGTAGAAGAAGAAAAAAAAAGCACTTTCAATCACAATTCGTTAACGCAGTGCCTGTGTTGGAGCAAAACATCCTAATGATTATCATTCACTCGCGCAGATGCGACCACGTGAAATTTTAACTCATACACTCTCAATAAATGGATGCATTTTGGTTACAGCCTGGAAGCCTGCACCGGCAGCTCCAGCCCAGCAGGGGGCAGCGTGACCACTGCCCTCCAACCCACCTTGTTGCCCCCGTCGCTCACGGCCCAGCCGTGCCTCTTCACGCCCAAAGCCACATGTGATGGGGTCACGTCCAAGCAGGTGACGGGGTGCCCGTAGACCGAGTGGAGCAGGCTGGGCTCCCGCTCCGGCCCTAGCAGGTACACGCTCTCCCCGGCGGCCGCCACGGCCAGGGGGGCCTCCCGCCGCTTGGGAACAAGCAGGAGAGACTCTACCTGCACCCAGAGGAGATGCACAACGAGAAACAATAGAGTCATTTGAGAGACCCTCTCTCCCCATTGGGTAGAAAGCCCAGAATAACAGAATTGTGGGTAAACATATACAACGACTGTGAGGCAGAAGACACAAAATCAACAGTCCAGAATGATCTCAAAGGAGCAGATTAAGACTCGCACATAAACCACACACACTTGTACAGCATTCAACACTCAGACAGCTTGCGGTTTGGTTATCACCCCAGTTAAAGCTAAAGTTACAGCTAAAGTCTGGGTCTTGGTTATTATGGTCTGAAACCGCGATAGAGACTAATGGTAGAATTGAGAGGCTGGTGCTGGACTCACAGGTTTCGGAAGCTCGGCCTGACACAGCGTTGTCCAGTAGCCTCCATCCAGCGGACCATCCACACGTACCTGCGGGCCAGAGGCAGTCGCCACAGCGGCGCCCTCCGAGCCCAAGGCCACGTTCTGAACCTTCTGAAGGTGCTGATAAAGATGGACGGGCTCCTGACCAGTCTCTGTGCTCCACACGTTCACGAGGCCTTGAACACAGATGGAGAAACATCGTCAAAGCCTCAGCATCATTTGGACAGGTGGGGGCAAGGTGGACTGGGGCAAACCCAGTAAAACCAGAAAAACCACATATGATGAACTGCTATTCTTGTACACCAGGGGCTTAACCTTTCAATGACAGCGGAGCAGTTTATGTTGTACAACAATGTCCAGTATGATGTACTGACCAGGTGCGGGGGGAGAGGTGTTAGGGGTAAGGACTAGTTTGTTCCCAGATGCAATCAGAACACGTGAAGGACAGGCTAAAATTAAGGCATGACAAGATAGAGTTTATTCGTGTAAATTAACCAACCCCTCCGCAAAACTACTAGTGTTCCACGGTCTGTGGTTGGAAACCTTTCTGTAAAATAAATTAAAAATATTATCGTTTAAAATACACATTAAACCCAGTCAAAACTATAAATGTATTATTCTTCCAACAATTGAATACAATATTGTGAAGATGATTTGAAATAGCACATCATATTAAGCAAAGCCTGAAAAATCCTGGAGGGAATTAATTAAACGCTATCATTAGGCATCTCGAAGAGTCTATGCTGAACATCATTGCGTAAACAAGCCTTTGCACACAAAACATGTGATTCTAAAATTATTCTACAGAGACGACAAACAGCCGGAGTCGGACAGAGGGGTGACAAGAGCAAACGCACTGTCTGGGTGGGGGAGCCTGCTCTCTTATGAACCATGTACATTTCACTTGCTGCCCCATTTTGCTGGACACATCATGATCTGATGCCCCCAGTGGCCATATTTAAACCTTGCAACACCAACACTGATACCACATTTAATACCAGAAAGCCATGCCCTTCTACATCCTGTAACACACAGATGATGTAAGTGTGGAGAGGGATCTAGACTGAACAAAAGGGTTATCACCACCCATTAAGGCGGGAAAAACAGCAAAATAGAGATGTCAGTTATTGTTTGATGCAAATATCACAATTTATGTGTTGGCAGGGAATTTTAAAGAAGATGACTCCTCAGAAACTCTCACCATCCCTCTCGGCTTTGCTTTTGTAGCTCAAGGCACATACCGAATCAGGCTAAACTTGAAATTTTTCAATTGATAGCCATTGTTTATTAATGCCTTTCATCTCCCAAGCGACCGCCTGACTAAATTTAAGATAAATGAGAGAGGTTTTGGTGAAGGCGTACCAAAGGTTCGATGACACATGTCCGGCCCAGATTCTGCGGCGCATAAACAAAATCGCAAAGCACGTTAACTGTTAAACCCAGCCGAACGTGATTAAACGACTCGTGATAAATTGTCTTGACAGAATCCAGGGCCGGTTATAATTTGGCACACCAGGCCTGCCGTTCCATATGGTTGGGGCTCTGTTTTTTGCCAGAGCATTAGTTTGAAAATTCGAGATTAATTATTGGGCAGGACTCCCAAAGCGCGCCTTCATTTCCGCCAAGGCCGACGAGGAGAACCGCCCATCCGGAGTGGAGCCACAGACGGTTAGAGGAAGCCGAGTCGTACCGTCACTCGTAAAAAGATAAATCAGGAAACAAGGTGGATCCAGAGCGATGATCAGCGGACCAGGCCAAGTCAGGTCCCTGCCATAGCAGCAGGGGGTTACAGGCAGCCGATCGACACGTTATGTGATAACAAGACACTGTGTCTTTCCGTTCCTGCAAAGGTGTTCCGTCTCCTGGCTCTGGATGACTTCTACTGGACGGGATCCACGAAACGCACACAGAGAGGGTTCGTTATCTGGCCATCTGATACACGCCGATGAGGTGAAAAAGAAGTTAACAACAGCAGCTCTCAGCTGACCCAAACGACGACTGACATCTTTGCTAAAGGCAGTTTAAAACCTGCCTGACACAGGTCATCACCAAAGTGGTGACTTCAGAGGGCCCATCTTATTTCCAGCAGATGGGTACTGTACTCAATTCAAGTTTGAAGAAAGAAAAGAAAGAAAGAAAGGCTCCCTCACCATCTTTGTAAGCGGCCACCGCCACGACCTCGTTGACTTTCACCTGGCTGACATGCGAAAATGGGCCGTCCCCGGCGATCACATGACTGGGCCGCAGGTATGAGGTCCGGGAGTCCCAGTAGAGGGTGTCCCACAGCCGGATGTCCCCGGAGGTGTATCTGCACATTGCATGGGGACACGGGCGTGTCACTGAGGTCTAAACACATCCACCGCCCTTGTTCCTGCTGATGTGTTCAGAGTCTGCATAATAACCATCTGTAGGTACAGAGATCATCATGAGATATACTAGCTGGTGCAAGTGAATGTTACACTTGTATTGAATTCATTAAATCAATTTTAAATTTAACGCATTTAAAATCTGGTTGTGACAACATCATTTTTACAGTACTGTTTTTTTTTTTTTTAAAGGAGTGGTTACCTGTATGCTTCCTTTGGTCACATATGTTCTTTTGTTTTGAACAAAACTATCAGACAAAATTTTGGGTACGTAAGACCCCAGGGCCATTAGAAAGGGGGGGGGGGAGGGAGAAAAGCACAGCTGAATGGTGCCGAGAATGAGTTCATTCTTTGCTCCCGAGAAGGAGCCGGGCTCATTTCAGACACAAAGGCATGACAACCCAATCCCGTCGCGCCACACGCGGGGCCCCCCCCCCGCAGCTGCCTCGGGCAGAGAGAGACGCCTCGCTGGACCGGACTCAAGCGCGGCACAGGCTGGGCTGCTGGAAGCAGGACGCAGCTGCTGCCAGTGGAAACCTTCACCCAGCAGCTCCCCATCCTCGCTCCCCCTCCCCCCTCGTCACCGTTTTAACCGCTATGTCCCTTAAGCAGAAAAAAGGACCTCAAACCCCCTACCCCCACCCCGGACATCTAAAGAGAGCCAAAAAAAAAAACAGTGCCAGGCTCTAAGTTTACAAACACAGATCAGATGGCCACCAGGATGTAAAGGGGGGGGGGGGGCTGTTTAACAAATACTCCCCCCACCCCATTTTATATTTCATATACAGGACACAGCTTACAAACACTCCAACGACGGCCAATGCTGTTTCTGAGTTATAGTCATACTCAGCTTTGACCAGTCCCTGACTACATAAACACCAGACTTTCTCGCTCCATGCTGTTAGGAATTACGTAAGTTCTACCAAATAAACTTCAGAAGCCAATAGAGGGTGTCAGACACCAACAGCTACAGAAAAAAATGAAGAGACCACTAAGAGATATTTTTTTAAAAGCAGCATTTCTTAAATCCTGGTTTAATCTTGGTTCTGCTGGCAAAATGTTACACTGCGAGTCAGGCTGCTACCAGGAACCACCCAGGAACTACCAGGTACCAGCCAGGTAGAGGGCAGAAGTGACATTCTAATGCCAGAGATGACCATTAACTTATCCGAAAGTGCCTCATAAATCAGAGGATAACCTCAAGTGACCTTCAGCAGGAATGGGAAACATTAAGTGCAGGTGTGAAGTGCACTGCTAGGACAGTTCATATCAGGCTCCTAGAAGCAGGACTGAAGTCCCATAAAGCAAGGAGGAAGCCCTTCATTAATGAGAGACAGTGAAGAACCAGGCTGCAGTTTGCAAAAACATGTGTATTTTACACAGGCACATACCCATAAATTGATAAATGAGTGAAACTAAAAATGTTGCTGTGGTTTCTTAATTTTTTCCAAAGCTGTAACCAATATTATTGTGTGTATAATGGGGGCACGCATGGGTGCAGGGGCTTGGTGCTCTTCGTTCCTTTTAAATTTTGTTGCTCTGATGATCATTTTGCTAACAAAAAGTGCACACCTATGACCATGTGAGATAACATGCCCTGTGATTGACCGCTCTCCCGTCTGCAACGTTTCCAGTCTCACACCCCGTGCTCCCAGGAATTATGTCTGGGTGACTGGCACCACACCTGGCAAAGCAGCTAATGAAGATGGAGCAATGGCAGAATGGTGGCATGCAAGCATATTCCACTAATCATTTATTTCATCATCCTCTCTCCAAATCTGTATGTAACACGGGGCCTCAGCAGGGCTGTGCTTGAGAGGCAAAGGCTCCTTCGCCAATCCCTAAATCAACAGAATAAGGTGTCTGCACCCATCACAGTCAGACAGGATCAGAGTGTGTCCCCTTACCCGGCGATGACCAAGTCATCACAGGAGCTCACGTCACACAGGACCCTGCCAAGCTCATACTGAAGGTTACTGATGGTGCCGATGCGATTCTGTCGATCAGAAAAATTTACATAATTTAGGCCCAGGCATGTCTTGACCCAGTATTTCTCTGTGGCATTTTCAACGGGTCTGGACTACTGTACCTTCCAGTTGTAGCGCAGTGTGTCTTCAGCCTTCTTGCAGTCGCGCAAAGTGCTCTTCCAGCAGGGGGAGTCATTAACACCAGCCCCACTGTGATACCCCGCTTTCAAACACAACCTGTACCAAAGGACCTCATCTTCAGCTAGGACCTTCCACGTTTTGCTTACCTATAACAGCAACAATAGGGTGACAGGGCTAATGACAACTTAAAAATAATTACTATATATAACCAGGGTGGCCAACTTAGGTCTGCTGGCTGACATGACATTTTCCAATTTGAGACATGTCTGCACACATATGCACACGCATTTACATGCGAGTAACAGTTTTATTACCTTGTAATTAGTCTGTAGGGTTTGCAAACTGCCCCAAAGCTTTTTATGCAACTAAGTTTAGATTTATAATGGAACAATAAAGATTTGACATGAGATTTCTTGCGTGAGCCTGAGAATCTTATGCCAGATGCATGAAAGTTGGCAACGCTTATATAACTGGACTCAACAGTGCATGCAGTAACACAGCATTTGCAAATGAAACCATCGGGTTTACCTGAGCACACCGTCCCAGGTCGGTCCTGTTGAGATACTGGAATATCTTCAGTGCCAGTTCATAAGGCAGGTCCACATCAAAGAAGGGAATGTCATTCATTTCATTCTGCAAAATTGAATACATAAATAGGAGCACCGATCACTGCACTTTTACTACTAAGATTCGATTATTTAATGTCACTACCGTCTCACCAGGTCCTCGATCAGCTGCTGCACTAAAGCATCGTTCCTGGGCTGCCTGCATGGAGGCTCCTCCGCAGAGCTGCTCCTCTGCCTCTTCCTCCGGCTCGTTGTAGCCTGGGTCTCATACCTCGGCGGACTAACCCACCCCTCCTGCCGGCCTGCCGCCGCGGACGCGCAGTCCGACCGCGTATCCCCCAGCAATAGCCAGCTACGTCCATCAGCTCCCGGCTCCCTAACGCCATCATTTGGGTTCCCGTCAACCCCGTTTACATCACCAGGCCGCTCCGCCGGCCGGTATAGCAGCTCACTTTTCCAGTGTTCTAGGAACGCTTCAAGATCTTCATTTTCCATGTCATGCGTTAAAAAACTATAAATCGATGCTAAACGCGATCATATTTCGCGTTTGACCACAGATCAAACGATGGATTAGCTAGTTAGCATTAGCCGTGTTCCGTACATACGTCCAGTCCTTAAAGCTCTCCGACTGGAACACTTGTTGGACTAGTAATTGTTCCGCATTTTTAGCTGTACATTAAAACCATACCGCATTTGCGTATTAAACTGGTCTTGTATGATATTAATATTGAACAAAGACTGTTTAAAAAGATTTATCGGTTTTCTTTGGTAAAATAAAACAACGTTTCTGAATAAAGTCGTTTCTGATGCATACTAATTATGCTGTTTACAGCGAAAATAGCCATCATACGTAATATTAGTAACATCGGGGATATATGCACTAAGGCAGTGAGGGTTTATGTATGTAGCTTGCCATTTTAACTGATTGAATAAACCGTTAAATCATATTCCATCGCTCCACCTGTATCAGAATGACAAAGGGGTTTGTCCGACGAGGCGAGCGCTTCAAGAGTTAATGATTACCTTTCTCTTTTGGGAAAAGATGATGTAAACCCCACATCATGTGACACTTTAATAAATAATAGAGGAGAGAGAAACAAACACAGGGAAGATTTGATTCAGACAGTTAAGGGGGGATCTCCTTCCTGCACAAAGAGTGCGAAGGGAGGGGAAAAGAAAGCGAATATATAGAGAGATATTAAGAAATATGTGCTGTCTCCCGATGGACCAGACTTTGCCTCCGGCGGGCCACTCCATCAGCGCCCAGGGACTGGAGTCCTGCACCGGGGCGCAGCTCGCCTCTCGCTTGAGGTGGATCGGAGACCAACTGGAGAAAAGCAGGGCGACCGGCGGCAGGAGGAGCAGCAAGGGCTCGCCGGGAAACAACCGAGTCCCGGTTCGGAGACTGTTCGCCGCCTGCGCGGCCGTGCAAATAGCGGCCCTCTTGCTGCTTGTCAGAAAGCGACACCTGTAGGCACAGTGTCCTTCTGCATGAGACCAGCAACAGGTAAGAGACCCAGGTCACGCAGTGAGGTAATGCTGACAACTCCTCACCTGGGACAAGGTCCTCGCATCGGCCGTGCAATTGATATATTACCAACGCGAAACAAGCAGCATGCGATGTTTATAATAGCGACATGGTGATACCTTTGATAGATCGGTGCGCTGACATGTACGCACTTGCTGAACTATCCCGCAGACGACACCGGAGTCTAAAACGGTCTATTTCTGTCGGTAGCGTAACACGAAAAAAATGTTTATTCTTTATAGATGGTGCCTTCAGGATCCCAATGGAGGAGGTAGATGGGCATCGGACAGCCCGATATTTGCACTTGGGGAAACTTGTGCCAGCGGGAAGCGAGTTTGCAGCGGCTCCGCCTGCGCAGCGGGCGCGCAATCCTGCGCAGACCGAGCGAGACGCTTCCCATGCATCCAAAGCGCTTCATGCCGCTGTGGAGGTACTACTTCCAAGCTTATACTACATTTGTATAAACCTATATAGGACAATCTCTCTGTTTCTCGGACGAGTATTTGTTTTAGAAGTTGCAGAGCTTCTTCTTGATAAAGAGTTCGGTGTGCATTCAGAATTCAGTTTATAACGCACTGGACACGCGTCGTTTCTCCGTTACTTGACCACTACCTTGATTTATTTATTTATTTGCTGTTGTACCACAACTAAATGTGTTTCAGGTTACTGGTGGTTTAAGCTTGTGGGTTTCGACCCAACGTTATTGTTTATACATGACTTGAAACCACCCGTAATGCCGGGAATAGTAAGTTGATGTCATGGTCCCTTGGTACTTGAGCAAGGGGAAAAACTCACTAATATCACTTTAGGATTATAAGTCTTATATAACTGACCTCTGAAAAGGATCTCACATCCAGTATACTTTTTTTTTTGCTGTACATAAACAACGGGGGAAAATGAAGTTCTCTCTTTTAAAAAGGGAAATATTTGAAACGTATAACACAGTCTTTAGGACTTTTTTTTTTTTTTTTTAATTATCCCTACCAAATGATCTTTCTTTACATTTCACTGTACTTCTGGCCTGTGAAATAAGCTAACTGAATATATTTTATCCAGCAAATCTTATCTAAAGACAGCAGCAAGTGACCACCACACATACAGTATACAGTCATTTTTACTACTGAGCGATGATATTTATTAAAGCACTGAATCTCTAAATGGAGAATGCTCTGTGGCAAACTTGAGAGGATGTGAAATTCACTTTCTATTTTCTAAAAGTTTTGTATACAGGGCTTTTGAGCTCACCTTTTGTAACAGTGTTAAGGTAGATTACCTTAAATCTTGGGAGAAGATGCATTTACAAGCATGTAAGTTTTTCATAAGCTATAATGTTTTTGTATCATTGCAGAATTGTGATATTATACAAGTTATGAATTTGTGATTTTACACATGTGCTCTCTGCTGTTCCTCAACAAAAATCTTGTGATTCCTGTGACAGATTTAGAAAATAAACTTTTCCATACAAATTTTCTGAGTGCATTTCTAAGCAACACAAAATATTTTAAATAGAGGTGTAATATTACAGTTTCAATTGGTGTTTTAATTACACTTCCCCGTTTCAGAAATTTCATTAAAAATGAACAGAATACAGTTTAGCAGCATGCAGAAAACAAATCACATATTCCACATAACTGACTTCTCTTCAGAGTCAACAGTAATTCATTGTCTTCTAGTAATAGTACCTGATTTCCAGAACTCCCTTCCATTTTTTAAGTGTGATGTAATGATTTTATGCTGATATTAAAACACTTGTCCTTCAGTCTCAGAAACACTAGAGGGCAGCCTCAATCGATTTGTCATTATCACTCAAAAGTAAACACACAATGAAGTGAACACCGAGGATTTAAAACACGCAAGCTCAGTTTCAGCCGGTCGACCTTACTGGTCTTCCACGGAAGGGTTTGCCGAGCAAATGCACGGTCCTGGAAAGGCAGCTTCTTGGAGTTGTCGCTGTGAACCCAGCCCGGCTAGTACACCTGGAAGTGGGCGGAGGTGGTTCCGTCCTTCCAGGGACGTGGGGTCTCGACAGCCGAGGAGCGACACAGAGGGCACGTGCGCTCCCGCTCGAACCAGAGGCACAAGCAGTCCTCGCAGAAAACGTGCTGAGACAGACAGGCGGTTTGGGTTCTCAGTATGCAGCCTTATGAACGCGGGAGGATCACTCATAACTCTGATATTACCTCTTTAAACAATCAGCTTCTACTTTCACATAAAACTAGACAAATACAAGACTATTAAACCCTGGTCTTTACTTTACTTAATATGTCTGCAGAGGTATTAAGAACCTTTAAGTTTTCGTTCAATGTCTCACACAGAACATCATGCATTTTACACACAGCTTATCACACCCATATATTGGGGTGGCAGATGTAACTGTACTTCATTTTCTGGTCTTGATTTAGGGGCTGAGGGTGGTATGGTGATGTTGACTTTAATCTTTAAGGCTGCAGGCTCAAGTACCAGAAAAGCCCTACTGTTAAACCTCAGATAAAGGTTATTAACCCAAATTATTATTATTGTCATCATCGAATAACTAAGAGAATTTCTCATGCTGCAATAGCGTGGATGCTATAGACATGGCAAACACACTCCAGTTACCCCACCCACAGCACCTCCGGGGGGGGGGGGGGGGGGCTTACCTGGCACAGCAGAGCCATGGGGTCCCGGAACTGGGTCTGACAGATGGCACAGAGGTCCCCCGCCTCACTACACTGTTGGCTGCTCGCTCTCACGCCGAAACTCTGAGGGTCACAAAGAGGTCACCTGACCACACCTCATGAAATGTCACAAGCTCAATCCCAGCAGGGAACCTTAACCGTCAACCTGAAATGCTTCAGAAAAAGTGCAGCTGTACAAATGATTAAAATTGAAACACGAAGAACGACAACGTAAAATCTCTGCCTCTCTTTTGCTATATCAAATGCTATTATATTTATTATTCATGTAAAATCTCTCAAGTCTCTTTTCGTTAAAAAAAACACAAAAAGGTCTGCAGGCAGACAAATCCAAATCAAATCTACTTAAATCTCATTCTAAGCCCTGAACAAACCTCTGTAATGAAACACACCAGTGTGCATAAAACGCTTTAATCTTTAAAAATCAAGCCCATAGAACACACAGGAAGTGTGAGAGATCTGAGTTCCACGGTATGACAGCTCAGCAGAACTGAAATCCACTGATACTGGGGGTATTTTTATCTATTTCTTTAATTATCCTGCTGACACCTGGATACTTTGATTTAATCTAACAAACAAGCGTGTATCTTGCCATACAGAAACGTGGATTTATGAGTCTGTCTATTATTTTGGTGGTCGTGCTTTTGGCAATTGAAGCAATATTTTAAAATAACCTGCTTGAAAAATTTGCCCAGTTTCTGCCTTTCAGTGGAATTATCCAGCCTTCACTGCACCCAAGTACTGCAGTATCCGGCTTAGCATCTTCTCTGGGTACCAAAGGATGCAGGAAGACAGTTTATCATCATAAATTACAGCAAGTGAGGAAAGCCCAGGGTCAGAGAGCAGGATCGACCAGCATCCCTGGAGAAACTGGGATTAAGTGCCTTGCTTAAGGGTCTGAAGGAGATATGATTACTTGGTGGACACGCACGCACACACACACACACCAGGCCTGTAATCGAGAAGCACTATACGAATCACTATACGAATCTTACAAAGATTTATTAACTCACCAATTGATGCCGTAGGTGAAAAATCTCCATACTACCCAACCAGATCACTCACATGTCCAAGTCCACTATCAAAATGTACACTAGCCACCTCATAGTAAACCCTGGGCTCTGGCAGAATGGTTTATGTATAAAGTGAGACCCCCATATTCACAGTTTCAGTTATCCATGGTTCACCGCGATCCAAAAAAAAAAAAGTTAAAAAATTCCAGAAGTGGCTCATTAGTTTTCTTGATACTTGATATTTCTCATTGCTATGTTGTCATGTGTCATTGTAAAATGTGTAACAATGCCCTATGCTTTTCATTGTTCCTTTATCTCTTGAGGATTAGGCTAAAACATCAAAATCCCTTTCATTCGAGAAACGGTACAATAATGTGCTACCTTATTATTACCATTTTCAATATTGATAATGTCTTATTGTGCATATGTACATGAAAATCATGTTATATATGCGGTTATATATGGTTTGCTGTTATCAGTGGTTTTTGCTTGTCTGTGGAAGGTGCTGCAACGTATCACCTACGGACACGGGGGGACTACTGTACTATAAATTAGGAGGTGGTTTGTAACCCGCACAAAAGCTAAGAAACGCACTTACATCAGTTAATTGATTAATCAACTGATTCATTTCATTTTTGTTTTGTTTTGCTCAAAGGAGGAGGAGATACCAGAAAAATGTAAAAAGCAGATTCTCTCACCTGGGAGCTACACAGGATCATTAGAGCTTTCCTTATTCCCACTAATCGTCCGCAAACATCAAAAGACTGCAAGGGAAAAGACATCCATCAGTGTGACCCTCCATATGATCACCAGACATTCATGTACAAATACATATACAGCCACACTTATACCACTCAGATACTCAAATACTGCGCAGTCTTTTCCTTTGTGTAGAACAAAGATAGTTTCAACAACTATATCAACAAAAATGTCTTTCAAGGTCCAGTTTTTGGTCTGTGCAACAAGTAAAATAACCACTATAAATAAAATAGTGAAGTATGTCGAAGTATGTCGTTGGTAAGTTGCTTCACTCATCATTGTCGTCATCAGCTTCATCACCATGGTACCTTGCACAGGCTGTAGATGATGATGAGGGAAGCCCCAAGGAGATAGCTGCCAGATGGGTCCTCAGCCATGATGTATTTATACCACAGCTGGATGGGCACCAGAGCCCGGAAGAGCTGGCTGAACTCTTCAATCATCAAGTAGATCTTCCCCTGGAGGAGGGACGTGGAGACGTGAAACCAAAGACGCAAGAGGAGTACCTCGAAATTAACTCTCCCTAGCACTCGCAGTTATACAGCTCAGAGATCTGCTCCAACTGGAATGGTAAAGAGAAGGGGGGGGGGTTATTTGGGTAATGAGCGCAAGGCCCAGTTTGGCTTTGTCACAGGGGAAATACATAAGAAAAGAAAACAAACTATGGGTCAGGGAATAGTGCATCAACACACTCTGTGGCCAAAATATTATAAATGCTACAAAATAACCATACTGCAATATGCAATATTACTGTATGAGCAGATGGAGGATGGGGTGGGGGACATCAGGCTTTTCAAGAGACTGTTCCTCTGTGCAGGGAAGTCTTTATATCTTACACCAAAGAGCAGCTCCAAAATGGCACGACTCCAGCAGCCAAGCGATTTGCAGCTTCACCAAGACAGAGGCAATTACCAGCACTGTAAGGAAACTGGCAGAGGGCGACCCCCCCGGCTATCCAGTCAGCGCCGGCAAACCTCAGTCAGCCAAAAGCAGACCAGCCCAGAAAAGCCCTGTGGTCTACGTGAGGTGGATACAGGATCTGAGGGCACTCCTAACACTCTGGGCTTCAGCACGCATAATGAATTGTTGGATTTCACCTGACAAAAATTAATCACCTTCTTCTGGGCCCTGCTAGCATCTAGAAGCGGGCACCGACCTCCATGAACAGGCAATTTATCTTCCTTTCCTATGTCCCTGGAGCGCTGCTTCCTGCCTAACCCGCCCCGATTCCTCCGACCGAACCTGGACTCCAGCCAGCGGCGGCTCTGCGACCCCCGTCACCCTGCGTTTCCGCAACCCGAGCCGCTGCTCCGCCAGCGCTGGCGTCATTCCGCATAACCGCGGTTTCATTAACCTCCCGAATAACTATCTAAACCCGAACGTTTACCGGCGTCCCAAGAGGAACGGGCGCAGCGTGCTGCTGTTAATGAAAACAGGTGCCGGGTATGTCCTAAAGTATAATTAACAAACTGAAAATACGCAAATTCAGAATCAGATTTGGCATTGGTAATAAATCATCCGGAAATGTCTTGCGCACGCTACACATTATTATTATTATTATTATTATTATTATTATTATTATTATTATTTTCAGGTAGTACGGCACGTCCAAGCTAGCGCCAGGCGCCCGGTGGTGTAGGTCCGGTCCCGGGCCGCCGTAATGAGAGCGGTGATTTCACCGGGAGGCTCCCCAAGGGAGGGGGCAGTGATGAGCTCAGCTGCATCGCAGAAATCCCGGCGCTTTTTTTCTCAAGAGGGAGCGACTGGCCGGATATACTTTCGTTTGTGAAATACAATTAATAGGCCTATGCTAAGAAACGAATGCGTATATCTGGTAGTCTGGCATCCTACCAATAAAGAGAAACACATGTTCTAGGGGAACGATAAAGGAGTCAAATTGTCATTAATAAACTTATTGGCCTACTAATTACATTTATGCGCAACACTGTGGATTATCACATTATTTTGATATTTCTTCTTCAGTATCCAGGACTAAACTTTATACTTAAGTGCAAAAAATTCATGAAATATATACATAAATAAATACATATATAGCCTACATTTTGTTCATTAAAAATGCCATAATTATCTATACATTTATTCATTTATATACATCATTTATATTCATCTCTGGAAAAAATTAAGAGACCACAGCAAAAATTTATGTCACTAATTTCTCAGTTTAGGGTTATGCATCTGTGTAAAATATAAATACAGGTTCATCCCCGTTTCTAATTAATGAAGGGCTTCTTCCTTGCTTTATCCTTGCTTGAGTCCTGCTTCTAGAAGCCTGATATGAACTGTCCTAGCAGTGCACTTCACACCTGCACTTAATGTTTCCTGTTCCTGCTGAAGGTCACTTGATGTCATCATCCGATTTATGAGGTACTGCTGGATAAGTTAACGGTCATCTCTGGCATTAGAATGTTGCTTCTGCCCTCTACCTGGCTGGTTTCTGGTAATTCCCAATGTCTCCTGCTTCACCTTGTTCTTGTGTACTGCTGTCTTAGAAACGTTGAGCCTGGAAGCAACCTGCCTCACAGTGTAACCTTCTGCCAGCAGAACCAGGATTTAAATATGCAGATTTTTCAAATAATATAGTGGTTTCTTGATTTTTTTTCCAGAGCTGTATATCTACGTTTCAGTATTTCTACATTGCTTCATTTATTTATTTATATATTTTTGTCTCTGTATGTTAATAAGGTAGGCGGGTCTAACCTCCCTCAGTGTAGGATTGGTTAAAGAGGTGGGATAATAAATAAAAGAAAGAATGTGGAAATACAGAAATAGTCCTTAATAACATGGGCCAGAGGTTTTGCAGGTAAATACATCCATACACTCATTATGAGGGGCCAATTTGAGACCCCAAAATGAAACATACCCTGGACTTGAAGGCAAGGAGGATTTTGGGTAGAAACAAGATGAGGCATTTGACCCCAATAGTGAAATACTTCAGGACGAAGTCGGTGATCCCCACCACCCAGATCAGGTCAAAGAAATCAAAGCTGTCCATGTTTGGCTTGGCAAAGAGCAAACTGTGGGGGGAAAAGATCCAGGAGAGCTTTGTGTCACATAACATGAAACTATTTTATTTTTATTGACCTAAAGAAACAGACTATCTGTAATTCCAATATCTGTGCTTACAGATTCCTACTTTACAGGATGTATCAATTATTTAAATAAAATCAATAATTTTATACATTCGACCAAATTAGACAGAAGCTGAAAATATGGAGCATGATTGAATAAAAAAAACAAAATACTCACAGAAAAAGTTGACAGAAAAAAACCAAATATCCCTTCAGCAAAAGAAAAAAGACATACACAACTGAATAAACAAACATATGGAGATGATGGAAATTAAAATATAAATGGCTATATGTACTACAAGTGAGAACATGCTCAGCATGTTACACCAAAATGCAGAAGCTCAGTTACCTGTTGTATAATTCCTCAGTGCTAAACGTGTAATAGAGATACAGGGTGTTCCCAGCCAGGAATGCCAGAATCCAGAGCGTGACAAAAACGGACCTCTTCTCCTAATCAACACAAAAGCCAAAACAGCTGCCGCCACATCCACAACAAAGCAGTAAAGATAAGTTCACTCTGACATTAATACCCCCATATATTTTCTCTATAAAGATTAGGAGGTTAGGTGTTGCTTCCTGGTTCTCTTTCCCTCCCTGCATATTACAGCCGGCCTTACCCGTAACGACACTTGGTGCTTGAGAGCCGAGTTGGCGAACGTGAAAGTGCTTGCCATCCCGATGCACACAGCAATGCCTGGCGTGACCGTGCATGCACACATACACACACACACACCAAGAAACAAGGTTAGACATGTTTTCAACAAAAAACACAACAGGCCTAGCAGCAGGCGGGAAGGGGCCTACCCAACTTGTGCTGAAAGCAAACTTTGGCCAGGAGGATGAGGATGAAGGGGAAGCCTTTCTGGAGCCAGGATACAACAGCTCGCAGCTCGGACAGTGCGGGCGCGGGGGTGGAGGGGTCGTCTCCGCCGTCGTCCCCGCTGCCATGGCGGTCGGCCGCATGCAGCAGGGACGAGGAGGAACGGTGCTGAGAAGGCTGGTGGTAGTGGTGATGGTGGTGGTGGTGGAGGTGTGGCTGGGGGGGGCGCGGCAGGTAGGGGCTGCTCTCTGGCCGGTGAGAGCCCTCCTCCCGGGAGGAGGATGCGGCCATCTGGATGAAGACCTCGGACGGGGAGCCCAGGACCAAGCCGGCAGCCTGGAATGGGACAGAGGCCACGTTGGCGGACGGGACGCCCACCAGGCCAGAGAAGAGCTGCTGGGGTGAGGGGTCAGATTTCAGGCAGTCGAACACCCCAGCTTCATCCAGACTGCTCTCTGACCCCATTGTCTGGCTCCTGCTCCTAAATAGATTTAAAAAAATAAATGAATCCCACAACCAAATGTTATAACTTTCATTAAATTTAGATCCTTAAACGTGGCTATACAGTATTGTATTCTTTCTTACTCTAATCGATGCAAATTTATAACCAGGAGTTCATAAAAAAAATGTATGAAGTGTCTCCTAGCCAAGTGCTGGCGACATACGGACAAAATGGACTAGAGCAAACCTTTCAGGGGGCATGCCATCGGTGTTACTGCTGTGTCTCCTCTGCATCACATCTAGCTCATCGCCACTGGACTTAGATCTGCGGAATGCACGGAAAGGAAACGAGTCACTACACCGCAAGGACTAGTGAAACACATACATGACTCATATAACGAGATTAATAAGGAGAAAGGCAAATCGATTTCAGGTGTATTTAGTTTCATGTACATAAACATTTATGTAATCATTTTACACCTTGTGCACCAATAAGAACAGAAGCCGGTATCGGGTATGCACTACTATAGGGCTACATTTAAAATACGATCAAGCTAACGGCAGTTTATACTAAACCCAGACGAAAAGCTCAGCTTACCAATATCATGTTGTTATTGTCACAGCATCCCCTGTCATGCTATTCTTTCTACCAAAACCTATTAATCCTTCGGCACAACGAGAGACGCCGCACACTTGACATTAGGACAGCCCTAAACAGAAAGTACTTCCGGGTCAAGAAAAAGTCTGCGTTTAATCGGATGATAGTGCTATTTGCCTAATCTGGAACGTTACAGAACGCCTCGTTGCAAGAAAATATTGTATTAATCGAACTGTTTTACAAGGACATGCAATCGGCACCGTTTTAGCTTGTTTTACAAGATATAGCTAGCCTAGCAATCCGGCGAGTGTCTCTGACGTTATTAAGGCGTCACCGAGCAGCTTCCGGGTTCGGCGTCGCTGTTTGTTTTTGCTTCGTGTGGTTCGGCTGTATGCTGCAGGTTCGGCACGAAAACCTGTACGACGTTTGGTAAACGCGGCGGCTGTTTTCCCGACCCAGGACAGGCCTGCTGCAGGAGGCTTTGTTTTTCATCACGCACAGACTAGTCTAGCGCTCTGTCGTCTTTCGGTAGTCCGGCATGTCAGTCGGCTGCGGTCGAGGTGGGCCAGTTCGTTAGCGGATTGGTACTCGTCCCCGGCCCCGCCTTTTGGGTTCAGGTTTGTCTGGAAGTTGCTCCGGCTTGTTGTAGGGCGATCATACTCGATGGTGTAACCCCCTTGTTCGCTGGAGTTGACAGCCCCCCTATTGTCATGGCTTGAGAGATGGGTTAGTAGATCACCGACCCGAATGGCTACCCACAGCTAACCAAGTAGTGGCAAAACCGGCAATTCCATTTCTGCATCCCTCCCCCGAGGACTCCCTACACCGATCCTCGAACCCGACGTCCCCATGGTGCTGCGCAGGCTTCTCAGGAAGCGCTGGGTCTTGGCCGTCGTCTTCGGACTGTCCCTTATCTACTTCCTGACCAGCACCCTGAAACAGGTATACCCCGGCACCTCGGAGTGCCTTTGGGCACCGTCTTTCTCTGCGATCAGTCCTCTAATGCTGTACCTTATTTAGGAGGAGAGGACCGTGCGTGATCGGACCCTTCTGCAGGCGAGGGACCCCGAGCACCGCATCCCCTGGAAAGTCCGCTTCGACCTCGGTAACAGCAGCAGGCAGATAACGCAGTGCCGAAACTCGATCCAGGGCAAGACCCTAATAACGGACGAGCTGGGTGAGTAATCGCCCGCTGCCATCCCGATTTCATGACCTTTTTCGTTTCCTGCTCTGATAGTCATCTGTCTGTTACAAATTACAGCTTTTGATATATTTTTTTGATATCTTTGCAAGTATAGTTAAGGTTCAAACTTGAATGACATGCAGGCGCTCAGTTCTTCTGTTCTGAAATGTGTCAGCAGTCTAGCTAAGGGAAAGGGCTTTTAGTTTCACTTTGTGTGATGTATATATGTCAGGCATGCCCTACTTAAAATTGTTATTGTATTGAACATACTGGTGGGTCGGTTGCTTACAGTGAGTTTAAAATGAGTCTTAAATGTGCTCCAGGTTACGTCTGCGAGAGGATCAACCTGCTGGTGAACGGCTGCTGCGACATCAATACACCCAGCTCTCGGCAGTTTGTCTGCGACACCTGCCTGCTAGGGGGCTGCTGCAGCGTCTACGAGTACTGCGTCTCCTGCTGCCTGCAGCCCGACAAGGCAATGTCACCGCTGAGACTCACAGGCCATGCCAAATAGATCAGGTCCCCTGGAGGGAATTGTTGTTGTACCCTTGAGTAGAGGGATTATTTAATTGCAGCCCTTGTAGATGCTTTCATTGAAAGCATATTTCAGTTTGGCTGATTTATACAATTGATTGTTTTGCTGGAGTGACTCAGGTTAAGTTCTTTGCTCATAGGTAGTGCAATCGGGCCCTTTGGGAGGTCTGAACTAGTAACCTTTTGACCTCTATCCATAATCACATTGCTGTCTGCTGATGCTAGCTCAAGATTAAAACATGAATTACGGTTCAATTTGTTGGTTTGTTTGTAGATCATCCAGCATAGTTAAAACCAGATATGAAACTCCAGTCGTCTTTATCTTCGCATATCTTTGCTCTTCCTAGAAACCAGTGAGCCAATTTAATATAAGCAGGTAAACAAGTGAAAACAATTACTCTGGGGGAAGGATATATACAGATTGTTTTTTTAGTTAGATTAGGATTTATTGTTAGGCTACTTTAGGATATTTTGGTATTATTTAATATGAGCATAAACATATCCCTGTCGTCAGTGCGAATATTTTGTAATGTTTCCTGTCTGGACTTTGGGTGATTGACAGACTGGCCTTTTTCACATCATCTGTACAGAAACTTCTGCTGGAGCGGTTCCTCAACAGAGCAGCCGAGAGTTTCCAGAACCTCTTCACTGCGGTGGAGGATCACTTTGAGCTGTGTCTGGCAAAATGCCGCACCTCTTCACAGGTGAGGGTCAAAGATTTGAGGCAAACCAAAAGGCTTGACATGTGAATAGCTCTTCCAATATAGACATATAATACATATATTATATTTATGTTATATATATATATATATATATATATATACATTGTCTTTATTGGCTTCTCCCATGTGAGTCACACATCCTGTTGTGTTGATTGACCCATGTAACAGTATTGCTGCCCCTAAAAATATTCCTTATCACAGTGCAGTACATATAAACACCTACAGTTACAAAATCACTGAAGTGGAACCCTATGAGAATACAGTGCGGGTATTATCTGAGATTGTGTATTGTGTCTAGCACCTGTTTGCAATGCAGATGAGTAAATAGTGTCCCCTGCAGGAGCTATGAGGACCTGATGGCAGACAGATGGGGGGGGGAGGGGGGGGGGTGGTGATCACTCTTTATTGTGCCTGAGGTCACTTGAAGAGGTTGGCCTGGTTCAGTTGGACTCCAGTCCAGTACATATATAGTGTAATCGATAACCAGAACACAGACATGACTCATGCACGAGCACAAGTGCACTACAAGATTTTTTTGCATCATGAAAACTTATTATTATATTATATTTGGTAAAATATGGGATTATCTTCTTATACGTGCAATATGGAAAAAATACAAATCCCTGAGTTACATAATAGATAAGTCTATAAGGGCCTTGTGTCATCGTGCCCAAAACAACTCCAAATAAGCCACAAAATAAAAACATTGACCGTGAGCTACATTGTGCTGTGCAATAGCGCTTTTCTTCCTATGTTTTCTTCAACACAAAAAGTCGCACGGTGATGACCAAGACGTACTCAGACCCATAATGTTAGATGCAATGTGACAGCAGACCAGCGAGGCAGTGGGTAGGGGAGACAGTCGTGCTCGAGCACTGTACAAGGCAACTGGGGCGAGTGTGAGTATGTCCTTAGTTAGTCATTACCCCTCCCCGGTCAAAAAGAGCATGAGTGATTGCTTGAATATTAGCTTTCACCTTCCCAGACGCATCATCGCTTTGTGTCTGTCTCTTTGTCAGAGTGTCCAGCATGAAAACACCTACCGCAATCCACAGGCCAAGTTCTGCTACGGGGAAAGTCCTCCTGAACTCGCACCGATCTAATCTCAAGTGTCCCGTCCTCCCTGAAGTTGGGGATGGGGGGCGCCGAGTGTCCTGGTGAAGGTTGTGTGACATGATGAGGACGAAATTACCTCCCATCTGTCATGGCAGCAACGCAATGGATAACATCCTCACCTGCTCTGCTATGGCAGATGGTTTAAATTACACTTCATAAGTGCAAAGAATACAACGTTATCTCATCAATGATGATTATAAGGTTCCACTGGCTTCTCCATATCTCTCTTCATATCTTCAACATCAGGCAGAAAAAGCTGACACGTCCACCAGCCTGACACGAGAAAGTCATTTCTCCGAAGACTGCATTGCCATACACTGCTTTTTGGGTGACTGCTCAGTTATTAGTAATATGATATTCTGCTTTACATATAGTGTCAAATGCGGAATGGAAAAGTTGCTTAAACGTCACATTTACTCTCTGCTTACTGTTTTGTAGTTTTGGTGTTTCGGATGGAAAAAAGGTTTGTTCTGTACGTTCTTAACATTTAATCAATAACAATATGATAAGACCTCCAAAACGTCCTTTGATTTTCCTTCTTTCCTAGCATATTCCTATTCAGTCACTGTGAAGCAGGTGTACCAAGTCACCTCCAAATGAGTTTATTGGTATCAGGACCCCCCCACATTTCTAAGTGTAGACTGTTGAATGGTCCCAGATCAGGTTTATTCTGTAAAATTAATTTCGTAAACTTAATTCTCTGTATGTCCCTCTGAGCATTCCCTGGGCAGTAACCTTAAAAACAATAAAGAAATGTGGGAAATACATTTTTTTATGAAAATGATTGTATTTGTAAAGTTTAAAATGAATGTTGCCGGGTAAAGATGGAGTTCTCACCCTTTTAAGGAATACAGCCATACTATATGACGGTGTGATTTATTTATTTATTTTGTTATTGAAGTTGTTTGATGACAGTTTGGCATTGTGTGGCACTTATAATGGTCAGCTATGTACTTAAATGTGGTTTCAATTCCTGAGTGACACACAAGGTGTTAAACATTACTAGTGCTATAAATTACTGATTGTCTTATTTCTGTAGCATTTTTCCCCTGACGATGATGAGCTGGATCTTGATATTCTGGTATAGTCTTAGTTCATTCTGCTCTTTCTTATAATGGTGTATAATGGATCATACCATCTTTCACAAAATTCCCCAACAGGGAGACAGTTTCAGACTGAAAGGGTAAGCTTTAATTTCTCCCCAGCATTACATGATCGAGGTCTGTGCTGCAGGGCCGTCCTCCGCCGCCCCATCTTCCAGGTGCTTCTCGGGACCTCGCCAACTGGCAGATAGAGATGGCATCCCACCCCCACGTCTGACAGAATGAAATCTCTAAAGCTACCGCCTTTGGATCAACATGGGAAATTTGACAAGTGCTGAACAATTAATCATTGTGATCACTAAGAAAATACAATCTGCATTATAATTAAAGAACATTAATAGCATACTTCATAATTGTGTGTGTGTGTGTCCCCCCCCCCCTGCCCGGCAACTTGATTAATGAGAGTCACATGGGACAACCCTCCCTGATCTAGGAGCGGCGGTAGTAGGCTGGTGATGGAGATGTATGTCTGGATACCCGCTGATCATTTCCTTCACTGTGCCATTAACCAAAGAGGAGACCTCAAACTCCGCTTTTGCTGTGATTACTGAAATTGAATGAATTTTTTGCTAAGTGCCGCAGAGAGCTGAAATATCAAACGTGTAATGGGCTTTAGCAACTCAGTCATGTGGAAAAAAAACTGTACCTCCATGAATCACTGCAGCGTTAGTCTGACCCTTGAAATGATCCTTGACTGCAGATCTGACTCCCACAAAAAGACTCTGATGCAATTTCATTGGCGCCATGTGAAACCTTTGTGTGGGAGTCCTATAGTCCATTGGCAAGGGTTCTGCTATTTTAGCAGACCTCAGGGTGGAGTGGTGACGCTGGTGTTGGTTGGGTAACAGGTCTAAAACAGATCTACACCTTATGCAGTCAGTGTTCCATATTTTTTATATATATAAACAGTAATAATAAAATGCCATGCAATTAACTGCTAATTGGGCTAATCGGGGAGACAGAGTTATAATGAAAGCCAGCTGGTCATCCTGAGATCCAAGAAGTTAAAGAATCCAGCTTCACAGAGTCCACTGGAAATTAGATCTTAGTGTGGTGACTTCTCACAACATAAATCAATATGAAGCTTTTTTCTTAGCAGGTTTTCATTAACAGCCCAAGGACCATTACTAAAAAGACTATTCTAACATGCGGATTTTCCTCTTGAAAATTGCCATTGAACTGCTGTACTGCACCGTCATTAAGATGAGTTTGATTAGAGCGAACCTGCCAAATGCTTACTGCAAGTAGACAGAGGGACAGATAAGTATTAAGTAGTTAAATTTAATACTTTTCTGCACATTTTTCAAGATGGTAGTGAGGTACATTATTAAAATTCTACTTAAGGATATGACTTTCAGTCAGTGGTAAACAACTGCATGATTTCTCTTTATCAAAATTTTAATTCATTCCCACTATATATTAAAACTATATATAAATATATGTATATAGTAAAACATGGCCATAATATATATCATTTTTATCGTTATGCCATGAGCGGAGCTCCGTACATTTCGCTGGCTGTGTAAAATCAATAAAAGAGCAATATTATGGATTAAATAAGTTTAGCTATAGCTAACACCGTGTGGTGGCCAGTGAAAGTTAGAACTGCGTAACTGCTATCCTAAAACTAGGGGATCCTATTTAAGATTTTGGTTAGGATGAAACGCAGCCCCAGGACAGAAATGAGAATAAATAAGAACTCAGCCAACTAGGTGAGATCGATCTGTTGTGACTTAGCTTGCAAAGTAACCAATCAGATGTTAGGTTTTGTTTCGAGTCCGCCCACTGAGTTGATGGGTGACTTTGACAGATCATTTTAATAGGGTTGTCATTTAAACTGTAATTTAAATAACAATTTAAAATAATTTTAGATAATCATTTAAATGACACATTTATTAATAATGATTTAAATGATAATTCGAATTAAAATTTAAATAGCCATTTAAATGACATTTATTTATGGAATACAAAATGTATTGTTAAACAAACACCCTCATAGGTTTTTCTGGAAGCAGAAACCTAAATTTATCCATTCAGCGTCTACAAGATGTAGTTCCTCACATTCAGTGTAACAACCCATAAAAGTGCTGCCTGTTTGAGCAATGTGCCTATAGAAATGTCGGTTTCAAATGATCTGATCTGTGATCTGCACTTTGCATATTTATGCAACCCAAATGTGTTCAGGACTGAAATTTACTGATGAGGTATAAATTTCAAATAGAAAGTGGAAGGGATATATCCTGATCAAAGATGCCAATCCCTTATTTATTCATGTGGGTATTTCCCCCCTATGTTCATGCCTTTGGGAAGCTGGGAACCCCAGGCAGGAGATGGCATTCTGGAGGCATGGGATGGACACCATCTTGGTTACACCTGACCTGAGGTGCAGAGGCAGGACAGGCAATGGCCTGGGGCCTGAGCTGGGAGAGGGCCCCTGAGGGCGGCCAATTACAAAGTATGTTGCAACTACAAATCTGCTTTATTTTATTTTTTTTATTGTTTTTCACAAAAGTGAAAATAAAGGTCTTGTGTTTATTAAATTCTCTTTGCTGAGTAAAATTATAAATTTACACTTCACAGTAAAATTAAGGTAATAAATGTTACCATGCCGGGGGAGGGGGTGTCGGAGTGCCCCATGGAGTTTTTTGCCTATTTCCCCCAGAGTCCCGAGAATCACCTCTGGGCCTGCTGATAACAAGGATTTTCCTCGGCTGCTTAAGAACACACATTCAGCTCCAGCATGTCCTGTCGGTCATATGGAGCACCAGTCAAGAACAGCGTATTTCAGACAGGTCTGATTTTTTGTTGAAATTCCCCATAAAAAATTTTTTTTTTTGCCCATTACCTGAAAACTCACTAAGAACACAGTCGGATAACATTTAATCATGTTATCTTTGAAGTGCTCAGTGACTTAGAAAGCAATATATAGTTTTTGATTAATACTGTATTTTTTTTTTATTATTGTGATTTTTAATGTGAGCATTGGCATCTCACTGAGGTAGTAATTAGAGCTTTGGTATTTGCATTATTAACCTCCCAATAAATGGTCATTAGATAATTGCATATGATTTTTCATAGGTTCATTCAAAGACGTCAGACATGCTTACCTAGAGGCCAGATAGCATATTACTACCCAGTGTGGACACAAGCATTTGAAGAGTTAATGGAGGACTTCAGAAAGGATGAATGCATCTGTATCTGCACTCATGTGCAGCATGTATTTGAAATATCTGGCAAGCCGTATTTGACTGCATCGAAGGGGAAGTAAATTGCGCCATTGCATCTCAGGGTCAGTGATAACAGAATATGTAGTCATGCGGTCGCCAGCCCCCTGCCCACTGCATGCCTTCATCATTATTAGTTCACTCCTGCTAGGTGTCTCTTCACACAAATACCAGAAACTAAGCCTGCTGATTGACATTGATGCTATAATAAATGGACAGAAAATGTTTATTGGTCATTTTTTTAAATCAAATAAATAATTAATACATATGTTGTGACTAAAAACAACTGAAGCCCTCAAGGGCAGACGTCAGTAAACAAAATGGGCTTTACTGAACAAAACAGGAGCAGGGAAACAAATAAGGTGGCAGGGGGACAAAATGGGAAGACTAGTACGAGGAAGAGCACAGGTATCCAGAGGACTGACATCAAGAAGAAATAGCATCGATCCATAGATCTCGTCTCTGAACTGCAGGAGGAAACGTGGCCAACCCAGCATGAACACAGTCATATTGGCAGTTGAAACAGTGTGAAGCAACAGGGCCACCCACAAGGAAGGAAATACAGTGGTACCTCAGAACTTGATCTTAATCCATTAAGAACTCGGGTTTGAATCCTAAAAAGTTGGAGTTCTGATTGAATTTTCCCCATAAGAAATAATGGAAAACCAATTAATTGATTCCCAGCCCCAAAAAATTACACATAAATATGTTTTTTTTAGCATTTATACACAAAATGAACGGGATAAAACAAGAACTAATACTAAACATATCCAAGCACATTTAATTTATCAAAACAATAATTTTGTCACACCGCGTGGAGGACAAGCGAGCAGGGAGCGCGGAATCAGGGTCAGGCAGACGGAAATCCAAGAACAGGGTTTACTGCTGGCAAACAAGGCACAACACGGCATAGACTTCAATGACAGGACTGGGGAAACATACTTGAACACGGACTTCAATACACATGACTAATTGGAAATAACGAGAAACAGCTGATGACATTGGGATTTCACATGAGGTTAACGAGGGGGGCATGGCACACAGAAGGACCGTACGAGCCAGGCGTGACAAATTTGTAAAGTAAGAAAATAAATGTATTGAAACAATGTGCAATGGCTACGAAAATGATATAAAGTACAGTGTATTACCTGATATTTTCAACTGAAGCATTACCCCTTGTTTCAGCTGAGACGTGCCGCAGGACTCATTTCCCTGCGCGTACAAGTTATCTTAGGTCTGCGTTCACGGTTCGACTTCTGAGATTCAGATCGAGTTCTAGGTATTTTTTTTCCGAACTGGTTGGTTCGACTTGTAAGAAATTCGAGTTCTAATGAGGTTGAGTGCTGAGGTACCACTGTAAATACATTTCAATAAATAATTTCTTAAATACAATAATTTATTTCTGTATATCTCTGCTCTGGATAAAGAGAGGGAAGATAGGTGAATCGTTTTCTTCTACAAGTGCTGAAGTTTATTTGTTTGAAAGTACAGATGATCCTTTAAAATCCATTTGAGGAATTTCTCAGAAGCTTTTATGACTCCAACACTCCACTGCTTCCTGTCATAAACGGGCTTTGGTAGCTGTGGCTTTGTATGATGTTGACAATGATGTCCTAAGACTTTGTTCATGCAATGATTGAGATCCTCCATGACACTGATGGCATTTGTGAAAGTTTTACGCAGGGTTTCATTATTAGGGTTCAAGTCATTCATCTGGTCCATCAGTATGACGTTCAGAGCAGCAGCGATGAACTGGATGCCACAAGTAGCGGTCTCTTTCATTTTCTCAGGTCTTTCATCAGGGACATGAAGCACAGAGAAGTTGGTCCAACCATCAAAATTATTCCCATTAGCTCCCTCCTGTAGATAAAAAAAATTATGTTTAAATAGCTCCACAACAATGCTATTTCTTACATAACATATCGAGAGTAACGCACACTAATGAGGATGTTGCAAATATAACGGCTTGTGGTCAATAGGAGAGTCTGCAAGCATGCCCATTATAAATTCACAGAAAATAAGGAAGATTTTTCTGACATGACTGCTTAACCAACATTGACTAAGCGGTAGTCATCTGACAGGCAACAGCTATTGGCCCAGGCAGAGTAGGAGGCCAGGCTTGAACCGTAACATAAACCAAGGAGACAAAGCCAATAAAAGCATTCTAAACTCTAAGGTTGTCTTCTTGTTTCACAGGAACGCATTCGAGAGTATTGACAGTCAAAACTGTAAGTAGGCATCCTTCTCAACTGTTTCCTTATTGCATTTCTTTATTAAAATAGATTAAATTGTGGTCACGATGACTACAGCTGCCAGGTTCAGTCAAGATGAACATTTACTCACATAGGCGTCCAGGCAAAACTTTAAATGAGCTTCTGCAATGTTCGTTAAGCCCTTGTAATTGCAAAAGGGATTGGCTCTGGTAGAGATGAGGCACACCATCATAATAACTAGGGATAGTCTTCCTATACCTGGAAAAAATTCAATTGAAGATTAACAGTTACAATGGAGTAAATCATTCAAATTCACAGAAACATGTTTATGTGAGAATCAAAGAAAGTCTGCAAAAGCTCATATTTTAATACCATAATCATTATTTTCATCGAAAATTCAACAAATTTCAACAAAATTATGCATATTTATTAAAATTGACATTAATTTATTACCTGTGAGATGTGTCTCGAAGACCGCTTTTCGTTGCATATTTCTTCGTTAGTTTTCTTGAAGGAGAAAACTAGTTATGGTTTCAGAGGACAAGGGGTGGCGGCTTTTTATACTCTTACTACGATTAGGTCATGATGTGGGCACACTGAAAGATCATATGATCAGCAAAAAAAGTTACATAGAAATGTACACGTCTTACGGTTTCAACAGTGGCCATCCTACTTGTAGTGATTAGCACTGCCGTCTCACATCCCTGGGATCAGGATTCAGCTCTCCACCATGGCTCCATGTGTGTGGTGTTTGCACGTTCTCTCCATGTCATAGTGGGCTTTCCTCTGAATTCACCGGATTTCCCCCACAGTCCAAAAACAGGTAAAATGGGGTTGCAAAGTTGTCCGCAGATCTGAATGTGTGTGTGCCCTGCAATGAGTTAGCACCCCGTTATTCCCTGCCTTACGCCCATAGTTTTTGGGATAGACTCTGGACCCTCACAACCTTGAACAAGACAAGCGGTACAAAAAACGAATGGGTGGATTATTAGGCAATATAATCACCAGTAATTCCTGAACGCATACTTATCTTTTAGCAATTCACAGTGGAAACTTTCTATGAAGATCAGTTATCATTAGCAATCATAGTAGATGTAACAGATTCGATAGCACATATTTTAATGCATATTCTCCGTATTAGATTTCTGAATCAGTGATGTGAAGGACCCACAATCTCCTAAACAATCTAGCACCATATAAAGATTTATTTTTACTGTTTTTTTATCATAGTTTTTATGTATTTGGCCAAATTTAACATTGCTACATACTGTACATCACACTATTCATTTATTACCTTTATGTATGTTTGCCAAAGGGCCAAAAAATTCTGTTTAAAGTAAATGCAGTGGCTTGTATATACTGAATTTGCCTGCTTGTCTGTCACCTTTTACTAAATAAATATATCATGGATGGATAGATGCTATTAAAGTCTGAAAAATTAACCACCCTAGTAATAGATTTGCATTATCGCATCTGTATGGGGATGCTGGCTATCAGAATATGGCTTTGCTTGATTCCTTGCTCATGAAAAAGATGCACTGGGGTGTTACTTAGTCTGAAATGTAACATGGCAAACTCATCAACATGTTTCCCCATGGCTCTCTGCCATGATGTTGATGTTGCTATTAAAACAATCCAGTACATTTCATACATTAATTTTATTACTTTTATTCCCATTTTCACATGAAGAGTATGCATTTTTCTGTGTCAGTTCAGGGTATTAGCATCACTGCTGGGTTCCATTCAGAACTCAAATGAACAAACTTTGGGTTAGCAGTGCAAGTTGTAGCTGATGTTTCCCAGTGATTTCTGACACCCAACTAACCTTCTGCATCTTGGCTGGTGCACCACTTTGGTTTCACTTGCACAATGTTGCCCATGTTACCTCTGGACGTCGACCCAGCTGTGGCCCAGTACAAGATCTGGCACGTCCACGTCCTACTTTTCCTCCCGCTGTTCATCATGCACACCATGTAGGTTCTGTCAGTACAGACCACTTTCTGCACTCAGATCTTGTTTGCACTTCAGTATTTAATCCTTCCCTTCCAGAAGATTCCTCACTGGCAAAACAACCAAACCAACAGACCTCTCACATGACCAGCATGTCATCATTCCAGGCAAGGGAACAAAACTTTGGTGCATGTTGGGCATTTGTGGCATTGTTGGTTTGAGTGAGTAGTTTGATGATTATTATTTGAAATCCAATTGTATTAGTGAAACATATTAGTAGCTAGTGTGCTTTAGGTATAGTGAGATACATATAGTTATAGTAGGTGTAATATCAAGGTTTTGATTCCGTTTTGGTTAGATTCAGTTATAAACATCACAAAGCTAGATTGTGCATACACATATATTACACATAATTATAATAACATTGCTAACATAGTTGTACAAAGATAGATATGCAGGGGTACATATTGAGATAGAGGGAAGCTACATTTAAATAGTAATATGGATCAATGGAGGGGTGAGGCATTAAGAGACCTAGGTCTAGGACCTGGGATTACTTTGATTTAATATCCATGCACAAGGTGAAGTGTAGAAAGTGTAGTGTAGTGTTAAAATACTACAATAAGCCTCGTCTATGTTTAGACACCTGCGGTCTAATGATCAACATTGTATAGCCTTTGTATAGCCTAATAATGTCATAGTGCAATGTTCTTTGGTTTATGGGCTATGACAGAAGATAAAAATAATCAAAATGAAATGATATTTTATTATACACATTTTAGTTCGTTTGAGCTTTGTGACATTCAAAACCAGCAGCAATGATTTTGTTGTACCGTGTTTGCTATAGCTGCAGTTCAGGTTTTTGCCAGCAGGCTGCGTACAGCCAGTGTTTTTCAAAACATTCGGAAACGTTGGTCATTTCAAAAGTATCAAAACTGTTTGATGACTTGAAATTGCCATTTCTAACAATCACGGCTACAGTTAACATGGACACAGCTAACACAGGGCAACTACAATGAACCATTGAGGAATAGATCAAGAGCAGGCACTTAAATACACTACTAACATGACAATGCAGAACAGGTGAGAACCATAACCAATCAACCAAACACTAAGGGCTCGGGGCAACAAGGAACAGGTGGAATAACTTTCTATTAGAAGGCATCAGAGACTCGGAAATAATAACAAACACCAGAAGGTATGAAGGAGCACAGGTAAAACAAAACATAAACCAGGACAAAAAAGGAAAAACATGAACAAAATCAGACACTAGGGGATTAAACAAAAACCAAAATATAAAAGGTGAGACTTGCCAGCTTTGAACTCATGACAGAAGGTTTGCCTTCTTCTAAGCCCCATTGAGCCACGCAGTAGCCCAGGGAGCAGGGAAAGACTTTGGTGCATCACACCAATGTGAATTCAAATTCATTTGAATTTATTTGACTATATGGGGGGTGTCATCTCTGCAAGAATTGTTATGTGACAGTGAATATCAGTCATAAGTTTCTGCATTAAAATTGTATAATCAAGCATGGAGTCTATGGTTATTTAGGGGATTTTTCTTGTAGTTCATTTGTAAGAGGAGGAATTATTCACACTATTTATCAGAATATACTGTGGTTAGACTTCCTTCCCGGAAATTCAGGGGATGTTTCATGTTAAACACGTCACCAGTCAGGAGGCCAAGAGGATAGTGAAGGGGAGTATATGGAAACCCAGAAATAGTTGCATGTTTGTTACGTAAATGTAGTGTGGTGAGGGGCCGTAGCTTGCGTTACTTTTTGTCAGGTAAAGAATTCAATGGAAACTGAAACACGTCAGCCTGCACTATCTGATCCTCTGATCAGGTCAAAGGTGATTGAAAGTGATGTTACGAGATACTCAGCGCCTCCAACTCCCACCTTTGCACAACATGAAGTCGCATTCTTATGCAGAGTGGTTGTTTCAGGACCCCCCCATTTTGGTGATTTGCAGGTGACTTCCATTCAGCCACACATGCTAATAAGTTCTGCAGAAAAGAATATATGTGACACTGGGAAAACATGCTCAGGTGTTTATTTGAAAAATACATATAAAACGATGTTACAAAAGATTCAGCGTACAGACTACCACCCATGACACATATCATTATTGAACTATTGACCATACATGGAATTGGGGGAAAAAACACAGAAATTACTTAAATTTACACTTGTACTGATATCAGTTTTATATAGGGGACAGAAATCAATCATGTAAATAATTAAATATTGATAGATAGCACTACAATTTAGGATGGTCAGAATATGGGCATGTTACTCATAGTTCACATTTAAGATCAGATTTCTCCTTAAAGGATGCAAGCTCCTGCTGTGTTTGCTGAAGAAGCATGTTGAGCCTCAGAAGCACGATGTTGGCATAGATCTTCTGCTTGAATGTGCTCTGAGTCTTTGGAGTGGGTCTTTGTCCCCCAGTGAAGTAGATGCCATTGGGGTGGAACATTTGCAGAAGGTGATGCAAGGTGCTGGTGAGGTAGCTAACCCTCCGGCTGATGTCTGAGAGGTCATGCAGCAAAAGGCTGGAGGAAAGATGAAGGTTCTTCTGGTTCTCCATCACAATGTCTAAGTGCCAGCTGAAGACTTTAAGTCCACTGTAGATGCTTTCCAGATGTTCCAGGAAGCTTTGACCTTTGAGTTTCACCCCTGGGGCATCTACCCCTGCTACCCCTTCCCACAGGTGTGACAACTCTTCACTCTCCATCTAGACAACAAAGGATAGAACAAATGTGAAATATTTTATTCAGAATTTCATTCAGTCTTTTGGACACTCTGACTTATTTCCACAAGGAACTTTTTCAAAAGCTAACAGCAGCAAAGTAATTTATTATGGATAAACGAGCAGGATCAAGCCCCCTTCCCTTCTCTTCCCGTTCTGTAAATTTTGCTAGATGTACGTCAATGTTTTCGTCCCACATCAGGTCCTATGTGCCCAAGACCCCAAGGCGAAGTCGGCAGGCTAGCATACGGTCCTGTAAGGCTTGGTACTCACGTATCTCCGCAGTAGATTAGCTGAGTGCCACTCCGTATGTGCGGTGAGCCTCTGGGCCTGCTGGACAGCACAGGCACAGGCAGAACTCCTGCAGGACTCCTGGCCGCTTTCGGCCGCGGTTCGCAGGCTTATGGCTAACAAGGCCGGAACTGAGTAGCGTGAAGAGCATCATTCAAGCAAACTTTAAAAAGAACAACTCATAAAACCTACTGCAGTATTGTACTATAGTTCTATATAGTTATATAACATCTCAGACAGCCATTTTGCTATATAATATATTGATTAAATAATACTATAGTTATATAAAGAATGTATATCCAGCTGCTGGTGAAACCACTACTGTCCAACTGCAGAAATTATACACCTACACAGATTTTCTTAGCTGTCTGCAAACCATCAAAGCAGAACTCATTCAAGCTCTACAAGTGCAGATCAGCACCAATTTACCTATGACTGCTGGCAAGTGGACACCCATGCTTGAAGGAGCGACCTGCTCTTGTTTTCTTCCAGAGGTCACCAAGTGATACCCTCCCAGCAGATGCTGCAGTCT